TACGGAGTTGATATACATGTGACTTAATAATGAGCATTTTTTTGAAACGCGAGATAATGACACAATACGTCTGGGTAGGATAACGGTCCTCTTTGTAACGATACGCCGAGTACTAGTAGTTACAGTGATTCTCCGTACGCTATTTTTTTGGCTTATATTACGTGTTCACACATGAAATCTGCTCGCCTGTTTAGAACCCAATAACGATTTTGATGATGTTTGTGGTACTTACATTTACGACTGTTTTGATTTACAGCGACTTTCACCGTCTCTAGAAATATTAATCAAAATATGACTTTTTTTAACCAAAACGGCATTACATCTAATTATAGATTAATACATTCTTACAACATTGGCAAAACACGAAGCGATCTAACACATAAACACGGGATAATTTATAACTATGACATACTTGTTCATTTCACTATTGATTCAAAATAATAGAAATGCCATGAAAAAAGTCAAACAAGATGATAAGTTCATTTCGTTTACATGTGTCATACTTGAAACAAATAAGCGCTAATATTTCAAATAATTCTCAGAAAAGTAATTATTATTATTATTCACCAAAAAATATGTTTTTTCCGAGCAAATTTCGAGTTTTCGTAATGACAAATAAAACCACAGAAAACGCATGTCACATAAAAAACATTTTGGGTTCAAAAGTTCAACAACAAAAAACAACATGTACCCAGAATGCATTTCTTCGGAATTGTGAATAATATGAACTCTTTACCGGTGTACGTAAATTTGTCACCAGCCTTGGACATATTAAAATTCATCTAGGCTTGATTGGAGGAACGCTATAAATATTAATTAGACTACTTGGAAATATTCTCACCATGTGTACACACTATTGTTCTTTTAGTAGTTTTGCAAGTTAAGACCAACGCTAGGCATCAGTCTAAATGTTCTATCACTTACTGCAAAATCATTTATTTTCACTGACATGTAATTTCACTATTTTGATGTTCTGAGCATATTCACTGTGTTTTAATTTCACGAATTTGTCAAGAAAACAATGAGTTTTATTGTCATGTTACATGTTCACATGGATTTAATTTAGCGGATTTTACTTATATGGAAACTAGCGAAATTAAAACCCAGCGAATAATTATTGCGTTAAAAGTATTATTATTATTATTATATAAACTCGAAAGCTCTGAACAACTTTCAGGTGGAGTGTACATTGAAAAAAACAAATCTGGCAATAAGTGACGTCAAACTATGTGATATGCATTTTTGTCACATTGCATTACAATAAGAGTAGCTAAAGTCCTGATAATATTGGTATGACTTATGTTATAATTCTAATAGCTCAACTGTCTTTGCACCAATCTGGTTTAAATCCAGTTAAGGTATCAACTTCAATTCTTTTTTTCAATTATTTAAAAAAAAATTATGATATTTCATTGTTATTTTTTTATTATTTATTTATGACTGTTTTATTAATGTTTCAAATTTGTGTTCAATATTGTAGTAAGGCGACCAAAATGCAATATATAAAGAGAAAACTTAATATAAAAAAACACAAGTCCCCAAAAAGGATAGACAGGAAAGATCAACTTTAATAAAATTGTATAACGCAACATTGTCAAATCTAATATTAAAGTAAATGTGGGCACAAAGTATAGTCACGTATCCCTTTACTTTAATCCAAGAGAAAGATTAAATTAAACTTAGATATTTGAGGGGAATTTAAGTTATAATGATACAGTTAATTTAAAGAATTACAATTTAATTAGTTTAATAAAATTGTGAAAAAATTTAATTTGTGTATAGCATTGCATTTTAATTAAAGTTTCTCCACAGATTTGGTTCTGGTTCTGCGTTTTATAGACAACTATATATACCATGGTTTTCAAATTGTCCAGTTTTAGGATTTATAGATAAATCCTCAAAAGAATGGTTTTCGAAATAAGTTTTTAATTGTAAAAACAGTTTTATGAAATATGTAATGTTTAATATGCAAAGAAAAGATGAATTCATAAAGCCATCAATTCTATAGAAGAAGTAATGATACAGGATTGGTATAGGTTCTACCATGTTTGTTGTATTAATTTGATTTGTATTAATTTGTATTACTGATTGTAGCAAACATGCTTACATAATTTGTATTTTTGGACAAAAGTCATATTTTCACCCAATTTTGTCGTTTGGCTCTGGCTCAAAAATTAAGGTTCATTTCCAAAAATTTTAAGGAATAAAAGAAAAAAAATGCAGAAACATTTGGGAGAGAAAGTCTGGAGATGAAAAGGTTAATGATGTAGCATAAAGTAAATAATTTTTCGTAACGAGTTTGAATGAAATTACTCGGCAAAACATGGCTATTATGTATTATAGAAAGCCAATAGAAGCCAAATTTAGTTTTTAATATTTCAAATACACTTATGTATCTTCGAACCACTAATGCTGACTGCATATGTCTGTACTTGTAATAGAGCAAATGTGATACAGTACGTTTAAGCAGTGCTTAAACTTCAGAGGCATTGAAGACAATTGCCTAGATTTCCAAGGAGTTAGTTTTGGTGCCTTCCAAAAGCACAGATTTTTCCTATACTATTACTACGATAAGGTAAATTTTTGCCTTGAAAATGGGATTTTTTGATCGATATGTATGATAAATTTATCAGTAATCACAATAATATATTACAAATTGTTTATTCCCATAACTATAAATACCTTACAAAAATTCTTTAATTCTTTAGATTAATCTAAAGATTACATTTACCATCACATTTCATCAAAATTTTACACAAAAAGTGTTCATGATTCAGTTTTATCATAAACAGGATTCTTCTAATATTGTACATCAATGATTTTTGCCAAAAAATACAGCAACCACCCTGAAAGTCAGCCGAATAGTGCCCTTTTATTATGTTAATTGGACCAGTACCTGTAAATGGTAGATTAAATATCATAGCTTAGAGACTTGATTCTCATTGGTTCAGAAGCACATGACACAGACATGTGATATGCAAATTTATGTTACACCAGGGCCAGTCAATTCAGTTCAATTCAAGATGGTGTAGATTAAAGAACACATTTCTACCATAGTATTAAATTTACACTGTAATCTTCACTGAAACTTAAGCACCACAAGCACAAAAGATACAAAAACTCGAAATCATACATTAAATAAACAGCTGTTGACTTAAATTTAAAGCTACAGTCTATCAAAGACTGGGAATGGTGCAGTCAAAATGATTTCAGGGTATTGAAGGTAGCATGTAAAATATAATATCAGATTTAGAATACATATACAATACAATTTCCAAGTAAAGACTACTTCCCAATATATAGGATTTGTCAGATGTGGAGCACGATGTTCCAAAATATCACTGCTCTGCTATGAGCCTTTAGGTGCATAGATCTTCTGCTCAATAATCAGAAAATGAATCAGTGTCACAGATGTCATATTGCAAAGCTCAAATTACATGACAACAAGGAAAGCAGTTTACAGTTATATATGTTGCATGGGACCCATATCAGATGCGCCACAACAACTGTAGTGCTTTAATGTAGCCAATTTAGGGACAACCACATCATAATATACATATATAAATAAAAACAGATTTTTTGCTGAATTAGCTACAACTTGAATTAGTATAAAATACATGATGTTAAAATGACCTATTAAATGGGAGGATCATCACCTGCGCATGCGCGAGAATTGAGTCCCAAGCGACGATAACATACGTTAAAAACACAAAGGATCATGGGTAGACGCTAGTTTGTAAACAATGACACGCTATGGCCATCTGACGCATGCGCAGGTGACGACTCCCCTGCTTTAACTAAATTACCGATAATTCGCGTTAGCTAATTAAGATACATGTACTGTAAAATCTGCATCGCAATTTCTATTGAAATGGTGCAATGCAACAGAAAGCATGCTGCTTCTATTAGAGCATCTACACATATGAGAAATGATGAATTTTTGGTTCTCAATTGTTCAAAATAAATGGGTACAGCTTCTATTAGGGATGCAGGGATACAGATTTTACAGTACTAGTTACACACATTAGAATTACTGTAAAATGACTAATTTTCACTGGGTTTAAATTTCACTGATTTACCATCTCAGGCATATTCAGTGGGTTTTAAATTCACGGTTTTGTCATTTAGATAATGTGTTCTATGCTAAATTTTACATATTCACTGTGTTACTGTCAGTTCCAAAATGGTAACAAATTTGTGTTATATGTGAAACTAAAAGTAAGATACAAAATGAGAAATAAACGTGCATATCATCACTAGCAAAAACAGAATCCTATGTAAATCACATACCCAAGTAGTGCAATACCATAAAACTTATAGAAATTAAATGTGAAATTTGATCACCATATTTGCTCTATTAGTAACGCATGCACTTATGTCAGTTAGGTAATCGTAGTCTTAAGTAATTATTCAACAGATAATCAGACATTCAGGACAAGTTATGTTTCAGGTATAGTTGTGTTTCTATGGTCAAAATAAGTAATATTTTAATGAATCAGTAAGTATGTGGGTTCTAATAGAGCAAATACGGTACACATATTTTAAGTTTGAAGTCCTGTTTTTTTACAATCTTTTGTAAAGTATTTCAAGCCATAATGCTAACATTTATATAAATGAAGCATTGTGTGGCAGTGTAACCAACTGTTTACATGCCTTCCTAGTTTTTTTTTTTAGTTCGAAAATGAGTTTGAATGAAAATAGTACTAGAGGTATGCAACTTAGTTCAATGAGCAATTTAAGAAACATCGTCAACTGCAATTTGATTATTGGTGACATCCCTGAAGGTCACACATCCTGGTACTTATTGATGACCCCCCTTGAATTTCACACATACTTGTATTCAGGGATTTTTTTAAACAAGAGAACAGGAGTGCAGCGCCCTAATGCCATGGCCATGAGCCCCCTTACCCTGGGGAGCAGATCAGATCCTCTGGCAACCATAAAATTATGATTATTAAACCAGGGATCACATGTGGGCAGTCTTCAACTGTGATCTGTCTGATAGTAATTTTGGCCCCAAGGAAGCCATAGAATGCTCCAATTTAACTTTGAATTATCAAAAACGACATGTACCCTAATAGGGAGAATTCTATTTCCCCACTTGGTGGCGTCGCTGAATTGCAGTGCTCCCTCTTGCAGTTTTTTTCTAGAAAAACCCTTCTGTATGAATTATTATTTTTGAAAAAAACAAACTGTGATTACCTGAAAACCGCCAATAATTAGTGACAACTATGAAACTATTGGTAACTCATATTTCGTACATGATTCGGTTGTTTTGTGAGATTTTTCACCCCAAAAATTTGCTCACATAAACTGGGCATTTCATACCCTAACAATTCATAGGTTAAGTACAGTACTGTACACTGTTAACCAGTTTAATTTAATGAGTGACAAATACTCTTGAATTCGACCAGTCAGTGAAAATCACAAAACTTTGTAGCAGCGAGATTAGTGATTTTCCAAAAATGTCATTAAATGTTTACCGTTAAATTACAAAAATTTCTAGCATTGAAAATGAAATGGTTTACAGTTTATACATGGAGTTGACAGCATATCTAGTCTTCCTTGCTTTTGACTTCACACTGACATAAAATTCCAATCAGTGTCAGTCCAATGACCACAGGGAAAGCTATTTGTGCCGGCGGCTCATGAAGCTGTTGCAGGGTAAATGTAGCTCCAGCCATGATGACGATCAATAATAAGGCAGTGAACTTCTTGAGTCTCAGAGGTCCAACCAGTAGTATCAAACCTCCAACTGTTTCAACAATACCGACGACAAACTGGTACATTGCCGGTTCCGGTTTTATATCAAAGCGAAGTAGTGGAAATACAGTTGAGAAACGAACAAATGCTTTTGTCTGAAAATAGATGAAAATTAATTGTTATTGGTTTTTTGAAGCCACAACAGCAGTTCATGTTGACATATGTTTTCACAATATCTGTTCATAAATCCCCTAGTGCTTAATACAAAATCTAGGCAATGTGGGGTTACCAAAAACACAACATATTTTTTATTTAACTGAATTCAGATCTTGTGCTGTATGGATACAAGAATCTGTTGAAGATTTAATCTTCCCTGCTTATATTTCGGGATCAAATCCTGCATCCAATAATAGTGCGTGTAGCACATAGCAATGGAAAGAAGACAAAATGGGTGAATGTCAAATTAAATTGCCAACAATGCTGCACTTTAAAACACTGTCGCTAATTTGTAAAGATATAGTGATTATATTGATTTCTATCTGTTATAATATGACCAGTGCAATTTTTTTTTCATAGTTTCTTGTCTGAACATATTTTTTAAATGTGTCAACATTTTCCCTGCAACATCTTGCATGTAATTTTATTTTTCTCTCATTTTGCTCTTTGTGAAGTGGGAATTATCAGTGAGAATTACGTCCCAGGAAATACAAAATAATTTACATTGTGGAACCTAAAGGTCAACGCAGACCCAAAGCATATAATCAAAAAACATCTGGCTTTGTGCAGCATACACTGAACAGTGATACAGCTCCCAGCAATTTGCGTTTTCTATCGTATTTTAATAATTAGTTTTATAAATACTGTACTATTTTAAGGCTAGTGTTGTGTTGTTGTTGAAAACAATTCACCTACAACACGGACCACATAATATCACATCATAATATTGTTGTGTTTTGCACAACAAGAAGTGAAAACAATTATTTTTCTCACCATTTCTTCGTGCATTACTCCGGCTGGACACAATTTTGAACCGCCCGCAACGATGAACAAAACGCCAAGCGCATACACAACATATCTGAAAACCCCCATGGTTCGTAGCTATAAGATGAAGTCTTAAAACCTTGAAGATTGAATCACCACATACGCCGAGATGCTATCTTTCGCGGGTAAAAAAAGGTCACGCACAGGTCACGTAACGCTTCAAACAACGCCGCCATTAGTTGAACTTTAATGTTTACTTTGTTTTCAATTGTCCCTTAACCGTGTTGATTGGCCTAGTTCAAGTATTGATTGATTGAATGGCTGGAAAACCCAGGTGTTGATTTGTTAAATTAAACCGTTTAATTTTCATTTCTATAATCTTTTATGATTTCAGGATTTTATTGCATCCGTGAATTTCAAAACAAAGTTTCGCAAAAATCATCGACACTACATTTTGTAGGATTTCAGAGAAATCTGTTTCTCGCGTTATGAAACAAAATCCACAAAATTCAGATAAAAGGGATAACCGTGTAGATATTATTTAAAATATTCATCGCGTTCAAAATTAAATCAATTTTAGAACTTTCAAACAAAGCCCGTTACAGGTCAACAGTTATTGTAAGGAAACTCATTGATAAATTATCACTACAGTGGAAATAAACCAAACTACTACTAAACTGTTACATCTGCAGTCATTTATAATATGAATATGAACACAGACGATATTAAAAAATCAAGAGAAAAGTCATAGAAAAACTACCATAACAACTTTTGCTAATTACAGGACATTTACCCTAAGCGCGCACTTTCAGTTCACAACGAATGTTCATGTTCCGGTGACGATGGTTCTTGATGGAAAAATCATAACAAAGAACACCCGTGATATTGAGTACATGCGCTTTTATATTGCAACAAAAACAAACTGAGTCCCTAATACTAAATATTATTGGATACATTTTTCACTCGTTTTATTATATTGGATTGACACAAACAACGCATTAAACATACACGTATTACTGTAAAATACTTTATTTTCGCTATTTTCGCTGAAGGAATGAATCCACACAAAACACCCAAAAAGTGTTTTCACCGAAAATGAATTCCAGATAAAATAAAGTATTTCACAGTATATTTAAAAAAGAATCTACCACCCACAATGGAATTAATGTCCATTAGGGATTGACGATTACGAACTCTGAAGGGGAACGATAGCAGAATTGGAAAACTAAAATGGCGCTGAAAAAATCCTACAGGGATCAATAACTGAAGTGAAGCAAAAATATTTTGCACATTTTTTTTTTACAGGACCAGCCCTTATTCTCACTTCTTGCATTGCATCATAGCTAAAATAAACAGTTGAAATACAGTGACGAGTGACACCACTCTATAAAACCCACTTGAAATAATCCCTCTTCTGTATACCCTATAAGATGGTTTGCATAAAGCATGATCACAACTCAAATACGTGAACGCTATCGAACTTTGAATTAATGCGGTCCCGATTGGGGAAAATTCCAGCAGAGATTTGGCCGCAAAAATGGTTGCAGTTAGGGACGCACCCCGGGTACTCCCATGGTTGAAGTATACGAATATGCGTCGATGTTTTTTGATCCCATTCGCATGATCGAACCGATCTCTTTTACCCGCTATTAAAGATTTTAATTTCAGCAAAATTTAGGTCATTTTTTTGGCATTTACGCCAATTTGTGAACTAAAGGCGTCTCAGCGCCGATCTTGGTGCTCACTGTAAATATATTTATTGGTACGCCTCTGGAACGACTCGTACGGTTCTAAATTTATTGTGGTCCCTGGGAACTATACAGCAAGCCAGTATTAGTAACGATTCACAAGGCTAATGTACAAATTAAAGTTTTATTGTCGATCTATCAGTACGACTAGCACTAATGGGCTCATCCACAAACATTTATTGGATACAGTAATGCCGAAGTCGTGAAATGATTTACACATTCAAGACTTACATTATTCACAGTATAACTGCGTTTATAATTGGAACGTTACTTTGCATTAATATCTAACATATCACAAGATATAACAGTCATGTTACGAGCGTATTGGTCTGCGTAAGTGCAATTTTATTGTTATTTTGGGGGTCATAAGGCAGATTATTAGCATATAAAGGAACAAGAATGGTTCTAAAATGAATTCCTGGGAAGCACCGGATATAACATCCGAAGAGCAGTCCTCTAACATTTTCTGTTTGTCAGATAAATTGGCAATTAAGCAGAGAGTGAGTGAGATACACTGTCAAAGGTTATTTTTATCGTAAACAAACGTTAAACAAAGCAAAAATGTATATTGCCCGTAACTCGAAGTTCTTTCAACTGTTAATTTAACACAGAGTTACAATTTTGGCGCGGTTTCTCAAAATTAGGCGTGGTTTTAAAAACAGGGCGTGGTCATTAGGCGTAGTTTCTAAAATAGGGCGTTGTCATTTTCAGTAGTACGGGTAACTAAATCACAAAATGTCTATGGATGTATGATTGTTGTGCAACCTGTAAACAGGTATAAAAAACAACATTCCATGAACGGTGCGTGATTTAGCGAACTCTCACACTATGCGTGATTTGATGTCTGATACTATGCGTGATTTCAGTAAACTCTCACAGTGAACGCTTATAATATGCGCGAGTTCCAGTAGATCCGACCTTTTCAGAGTTGGAGTGGGGGGGGGGGTCACTCTATATTAAAACCTTACACCATGTGCGTTCTTGCTAAAAAAAATAATAGGCCCCTAGGGCTGGCAGCACATTGGCAAACCATACACCCTATTGCGGACCAATGTAAATTTAGTACCCCTAGAGCAGACATATTGAAGAAAAAATACCCACTATTTCAGACACATATTGAGAACATCCTACCCCATACTGCGAGCATTCTCTGCCTTTTTTTGCAATCAAGTGGAGTGTGATCAACTCAAATAAGTTCCTGTGTATGCAACTCCGTAAGCATGATGGGACTATTGACATGATAGTGAATATGATCATTTATTTAATAGTTTAATAACAGTCCCTCTATCACGTGATAGAGGGACTGTGGTTTAATACACAATGCACACGACTTTGCCAGGATTCTTATTCCATCAGATATCATCACGCAATTTTATGTTCAGCCCCGAGTGACTTTGGCATGAATACAGGGTAGAAAATCCAGAAAAAAAACAGGAGCTGGATGCAAATGAGACCGAGGTGCGAAAGAAGTTTCGGAAGTGTGGATGACACTGGGGAATGACTTTCTGTATGAGGCTTATTGTAATCGACGAAACGAAACAAAACGGAATAACACACATAATGAAAATTAAACTGTAATCAGTGAAAATGGGTTTTATACGCACAATATTTACAAAATATTTGCCGAAAATAATAATATTTAATACGTATATGGCTCGTTTCGCTAATTACAGATAATCACAAATCACTACAATATTAACAGCCGTCGGTTTAAACTTGACCGTGACCTTTCAGTAGTGTATATATAACAACATAAAACATATTCAAAAATCTGTAATCAGCGAAACAAGGGTCTGACACGTACAATATTAACAATTGTCGGACAAAACATGACCAGTATATTTACCTTGCAGTCGTGTATAACTCAATGAAACATTTGCTGAAAATAACGGGGATTTTATGATTAGTAAATGGTTCGTTTCGCTAACTATAGATAATTGTTTTATGAAGTTTTATACACGACTGAAAGTTAAAAATACTGGTCATGTTTCGTCCGATATTTGTGATTATTGTATCTGTAATTTAATAAGACCCTGTTTCGCGTGATTGCAGATTTTCGATTATCTGTAATTAGCGAAACGAACCATATACTGATTATATTGTTATTATCGGCAAATGTTTTATTACGTTATATACTCTTACTGAAAGGTGAATATACTGGTCAAGTTTCGTCGACAGTTGTGAATATTGTACGTGTCAGAGTGTATATACATGTAATAACATTTGCCGAAAATAACGGGA